GATTTCTTGTAGGACCTCTTGAAAGCTCATGTGCTTGACTTGTTATGTGTCCGGTAGATCTTATCTTTCTACAAGAAATTTCTTTAAAAAATTAATATAATTTGTTTTGGAATTTTAGCAACCTCTTTATATATCATGAATTTTGTTTGTTTTAGGAAAACTTATTTCATGGATTTTTGTTATACAGACAAGAAATCCGAGGCCCAGACAGGATAAATGACTGCTTCTATATCATAAGTAGTAGCAGAGTTGTACCTAAGAATTCTAGGGTCTGTTTCTTCTTTTTCTCCTTTGGAACCACTTGTGTTCTGTTTTCATTAATGGCCCCATTTCCTAGAATGGGGTCGTATAGACAACCAAATGATCCAGAGGCTTTTTATTTGTGGACCTTGATGAGGCCATAGGCTCACACCCTCTTCTAGGACAGGTACTTGGGAACTGGCCTGTGAGTCGCTTTGCTGCTAGGTCATAGTTTATCTGCCTGTGTGACTCCTAGCTCTTCTTTTAGTTTGAACTCTGTTAAATTGATGCTTCTGGCTCCAGGAACCCAAGACTAAGCAATGTAGCACCTGTTGTCATTTCTTTTATAGATGATGCCAGTGGAGGCATTCTTCCACAGCTTGTCCAACAGCTAGAAATTTCATCGACGAAGTCTCAACTCCTTCAGGTCTGGTTGAACTCTCCTGAGAAGTAATACTTAACAGACAACTAGGGCTGGCCATCCCAATTAACTCATACCCTAGGACATAGGAGAGTCATAGAGAAGGGACTTGTTGAACTTTGGAATCATAGGTCTTTGGTGTTTTTTTTTTTTTTAAATTTCAAGACAAATATTAAATGACAGTGGCTTGGGAGGTTGTTTAGGTAGAAGTCTAAAAAGTAATTTTGAAACCTGGACTGCTCATTTCAGGTCCTTAAGCCCTAGTGTAGGTAGAGATCTAGGTTGGAGAGGGAAAGCTAGGATCTTGTGCTGCCATGATGGCTATTCTGAGGAAGAGCTAGATGTCAGTTTTGTCATTCGTAGATATGTATATAGTTGTTAGACCAGCCTTCTGGGTAGTTTGTTAGTGCTTTTGTTGTTTTGTTTTGCTTTTGAAAGTAAAAAGATGACGATTCAAAAAGTCTCTTAAAACTTGGTAGTTAGATTGAAAATATTATTTGTATATTTGTTTCTTTTGTGTGATCATAATATGTTAACATATTATGATATATATATGTATATACATATATTTACATGGTATGTTTGTTTACATACAATTTTCCTTCTGTAGAAGTACCTAAAGTATTCTTATATAATTTAGCCTAGTTCAGTGAATTTATTTTTAAATCTATAGGTTAAACAAAAGAATAGCTAGCTTTCTCTTCCCTCTTTTTGTCATGAGACACCAATCCTAACTTTATTATTTTTTTAATTTTTTTTTTTAGTTATAGGTGAACACAATTTCTTTATTTTACTTTATGTGGTGCTGAGGATTGAACCCAGTGCCTCGTGCATGCCAGGCGAGCGCTCTACCTCTGAGCCACAACCCCAGCCCCCTAACTTTATTTTTGCATTTTAACATTGCTGATATGTACATGTAATGGCATGGCCTAATTTAATTGGTATGATTGTTTTCTTAGTGATATATCTTACATCTTTGCTCAATTGACACATGCTTGGAGAGTAGACAAAATTGTTGAATGCACAAGGGGAAAAAAGTAGTATTTCTAAATTAACATTATTTTATCATATATTTCATTTCAAATGAGTCACCAAAGTAATGTATTTTTTAATACTATTATTATTGTAATTAGATATTTTGACTATTTTATCTATAGTCTAAATTTATATAGGTCAACCTAAAAATTATTTTTGGTTCTTCTCATTGGGAACATGTTTCAGATTATTTTACACTGGCAATACACTGTATTCAGGCATTTATGATATAATATAACCTAGAAATGTAACCCTAGGTATTTAATCTTCATATTTGTAAATGTTTTTCCTTAAAGAAGTCCTGAATGTATGTCCAGTATAATATCCTCATTATCTATCATATATAAGTTGATCTGCTTATAGCTTTGGTATAAATTGCTGTATAATTCATGAGGAAGATGATTCCTTAAAGAAAAAGTTTCCTGCTGATCAAGGTGGCACATGCTTGTAATCCCAATGACTTGGGAGGCTGAGGCAGGAGGATTGAAAGTTCAAAACCAGCCTCATCAACTTAATGAGGCCCTGTCTAAAAATAAAAATGGCTGGGGATGTTGCTCAGTGGTTAAGCATCCTTGGATTCAGTGCCTGGTACCCCCCACTACCCCCCAAAATTACCATTTCAATTGTTTTTAGAGTTCAGTGACATATGTAAATTCACATGGTTTTGTAACCATCACAGCCATCCAAATTCAGAGTTTTTTCATATTTCCACACAAAACTCTAACTATTAAACATTAATTTCCCATGTTCCCTTCTTCTTTCCCCTGGCAACCACCATTTTTCTCTCGTTTCCATGAGTTTGTCTATAGATAACTCATGTAAGTAGAATTATTCACTATTCCTCCTTTTACGTCTGGTTTATTTCACTTAATGCAATGACTTAGGTTCATCCATGTTTCATTCCTGGTTTAAAAAAGAAAGAAAAAGTCTCCTTACTTTTAAATTTTTGATTATGTATCTTTGATCCTCATGTCAAAGAACAGGTTCTTAATGTTGCTGGCATAGAATGGAAACAACTGGGGTTGCTGGTGGTTGAGAGGAATAATAATACAATGTGTGTTCTTCTTGAAAGAAAATGATGTGTTTAAAAAAAAGAAAATCCTCAAAAGGCATAAAAAGTTGCTGAAGTATTACAGCTGAACATGACTGGTTCTTTATCTGATCTCGCTTGCTTCAGCTTGCTTTCTGGGGAAGTTGCTAGTTTCTTCTTCCTCTTTGATCAATTTCACTGATATCATTTAATAGGAGAAAAAAAAATTACACAGCTTTGTATATTCATTTCTATTAGGTCATCTTCCCAATGTTCCTTGTGGGCACAGCACCTTATAATTTGTTACTATGCCTTTATAGAGATTTGTGTTTATTGGCTTCCTTAATTTTTTTTTAGATTTTTTTTAATATTTATTTTTCAGTTTTCGGCGGACACAACATCTTTTGTTTGTATGTGGTGCTGAGGATTGAACCCGGGCCACACGCATGCCAGGCGAGCGTGCTACCGCTTGAGCCACATCCCCAGCCCTGGCTTCCTTAATTTTATACTTTAAAGTGTGAACATTAGAATCACAAACATTTATTTTATGTGCAGATTTTTTTCCTCCTAAATGAATTCCCCAAGAGCTATAGTTTGATACTGAGATGAAATATGATTCACGAACAATAAAATAGGTTAAATTATGATTAAAGTTGCTTGCTGTTATCAGGAATAAACTCAAAATAATCTTCCCCCATGGATTTTACATGTCTTACATAAACCCTTACCATCTGTAGGAACTTTCAGTTAATATCAGCATTTATCTAAAATTATTCTTTCTGTATCATTACCAACAAAAAGAGAGCCTTAGAGAAATTATCTAATTAGTGATTGGTCTCTTTTCGCCTTTGAACCTTGTTTGTATTTGACTCTGATAAATATGTTAAAGATTCTTGGATTTGTATATATTCCTGAAGAAGTGTCATAGAGCATATAAAAGTACTTTCAGGTGAGACATCAGCATTCTTATCTCTGCCTGCCAGTTACCTGCAGTGTGACTGTGAGCAAGTCATTTGTTTTTGTTTTTCATCTCTTCATTTTATACCCTCCTTTTAAAAGTCTCATAGTGACTTTTAAAAACTTTAGTTTTAGTTAGGAAATGAATTAGACTTTTTATTTTTTTTTTAATTTTTATTGTTGGTTGTGAGAGAGAATTTTTTAATATTTCTTTTTTAGTTTTCGGCGGACACAACATCTTTGTATGTGGTGCTGAGGATCAAACCCAGGCCGCATGCATTCCAGGCGAGCGTGCTACCGCTTGAGCCACATCCCCAGCCCGAATTAGACTTTTTAAATGAGATACCAGATTTTTAAAAACATTAAAGTGAAAATTGAAATGGTGCTTGCATTCAATAAATAAACCTTTTGTTTTTGATTCTTCAAGTAAAAATTTGGATTATGAAGACAATCCAGATGGCACTGACCATTAGAAGTCTTAAATATTTGAAAGTTAATACTGATTTCAGTGAAATTGATTAATTCTTCAAAAGGAAAACTGCCTGTTGTTATGAAAGGCAATAATGAACTATAGGGGATTCATGCTATGTGGGAATAATAAGCATGACAACTTTGCAACTCTTACTGCTGAGCAATGTGTCAGAAATGAATTGGTGTTACAGAGTCTTTCTTGTTCATTGTTGCCTTTAGATTGCACCATTTGAAGATTTTATTAGGAATGAGAAATACTGATTGTGATCAGGGAAAAAAATTTTGCAACATTTGAGAAAATTATTTCAAAATCTCTCATGTAAATGGGAGTTCTGTATTCTATAGAATGACTGAAGCTGTCATTGTCTTTCTGCCTCTCCTTTTGGATAATTGGATCCTCTTAATGGAAAGGGGAGCAAAAAGAGTACTCAATTATAAGGTAGGAGTATATAAAACTGAGCTGACTAAAGTTGTAAAATCACTTAATGACAGTTCTAGCTACTTAAATGAGAAGAGGGTAGCTAACTTCCTCTTATGTTGCTTAGTAGTTACGAAATTGTTTTTTTTCCCTGTCCCAGGAAATGATAAATTTTAGACAAAAATTTCTTCCTTTAGAAAGGTTGATTAAAGTATGATGGTGTAATCTAATAAGAAAATGTACTTCTTGAGAGTGAAAATCTGAAGTTACTAATTTTTAGTGCCTATGCAGAATCTGTGTGTCCTGTTCTTTATTCCTGTGCTTTATGTTTTGTCTATGTCCATGATTAATATTTCTGAATATTGTCCTTATTAATTCTTTCTAACTTTCTCTTTCACATTTCATCCTGGATTTGCTGTTTCCTTCAGTCTCACCTCAAGGTCAGTATGTTTGTACAAAAACAAAGATGATGTAATTGAACCTTGTTTACTAACATTAGCTTCAATTCTAACAGGTCACTAAAATGATAGAACTTATTCTAGGAAAAAGATGTCTAGAAATCTGGTTGTGAGTGTATAAAATGTCTGAGTATGTTTACTAAAAGTGAATACAAATTTTTATATTTTGAAAGAATGAGAATCTGGGCATGGTGGCAGTACCTATAGTCCCAGTGACTGGGGAGGCTGAGGCAAGAGGATTGGAAGTTCATGGCTAACCTCAACAAGACCTTGTCTCAAATAAAAAAAAATAAAAGGACTAGGGATATAGCTTACTGATAAAGTGCCCCTAGCTGGGTTCAATCCCAGTACCAAAAAGGGGGCAGGGTGGAGTTGAGATAGTGAAAGTAGAATCAGACAACCAGAGTTTGAGAGAATTATAGCTGTAAAGAGCCACCAGAGGAATGGGGAGGGGGGAAAGTACAGTAAGGATGACAGAAAGAAATTTGACACAGTCTAATTTATGGATTTATGTAAGAATCTTTGAAGTTTTTTTACCAAGAGAAATCTTTGCACACACATACAACCTTTACACTTTAGTTTTTGGTTTTGTTTCGTGATTCTACTAAATGATAGAACTACTGAAAAAAAAAAACCAGCATATATATGTGTTCAAGGCATTATAGTAGAAGCTTTACATTATTTGTTTCACTTCATCTTCTCAGCACTGTTATAGGAATTATTTCTATTTTAAGCTGAAAAACACAAGTACAAAGCTAATTTAATAACTTACCCATTTTTACTAGTGAGCAAACAGTAGAAGAAGCTGCCTAAAATAGTCAGAAACCTGAATTTTTAAAGTTATTTTTCGTGTGAGCCACAGCAGTGTGAATTATAGCATGAGAATTTATGATAGTTCAGAAACCGAATTTGTTTTGATTTACATTTTTCTAATTGATAAATATGTAGAACTTTTAAAAATATATGTGTTGATTGATTGTATATCATCTTCTGAGAGGTGTCTACTCAGTTCCTTAGCCCATTTATTGATTGGGCTATTTGGTTTTTTGTTGTTTAGTTTTCTGAGTTCTCTATATACCCTAGAGGTTAGGGCTCTGTCTGATGTGTGAGTGGTAAAAATTTGCTCCCAGGATGTAGGCTCTCCACCCACCTCACTGATTGTTTCTTTTGCTGAGAAGCTTTTTAGTTCAATCCATTCCGTTTATGGATTATTGATTTTAATTTTTCCACTATAGGAGTCTAATGAGTGAAGCTGGGGCCTAATCCGACATGATGGAGATTTCTGCCTACTTTTTCTTCTAGTAGATATAGTCTCTGGTTTAATTTTGATCCACTTTGCATTGAGTTTTCTGCATTGTGAGAGAGGGAGGGGGAGCATGGAGGATTAGATGAACTCAAGATTGGGCAGAGGAGTGGAAGGAGAAGAGAGTGAGCCTAGGGGTAAAAAAGATGGTGGAATGAGATGGATATCGTTACCCTAAATACATGTATGAAGACATGAATGGTGTGGATATGCTTTGTATACAACCAGAGATATGAAAAAATGTGTTCTCTCTATATGTGTGATATGAACTGTATTGCATTCTGCTGTAATGGATAAAAAATTAGAATAAAAATAAAATAAAACCCGAAAAGTAAAAAAAAAAAGAAATGAATTTGTTAATACCATATGCATTTTACCTAGCAATTCTCTACTAATAATCATTAAATTGTGTGCGTGTGTGTCTGTGCACATGCATCCACAGGTTTGTTGTTTGTTTCTCAAAGCACCCCTTGGATTCCCATGACTAGCATATGGATTATGTAGGGGCAGAGGGACAGATTATTATTCTGCTGAGGAACTAAGATTGGGGAATGAGATTTCTCCAGGGTCAGCCAAGGATGATACGTAGATTTGAAGCCAGCTCTTCTTATTTCAACATTGAAACTCTATACTATAAGCACTCTAACCTATGAAGTAGCCCCAAATTGTTTGGATTGTCTTAGATATCTCATCTGCAGTTTTCTTACCAGTAAAATTGGGATAATTGTCTAACATGTAGTCAATACAAATAGGATTTAGAGTAGCATATGCCACAGGGTAAGCAGTCAGCAAATGGTGCTATTAGGATAGTTCCAGCCTTTTTAATGGAATGCTATTTGATCCATCATGTTATAGCATGATGTCATGTATGTCAGGTTGTTTAAAATACTATACTGTTCTTATTGGTTCATACTGACTTCCAGCACAAAGGGACATGATTTGAGAGCTGCATTATTAGGTAATTTCATCACCATGCAAACTTCATAGGATATATTTATTTATACAAACTAAGATGGCTATAATGACATTTGCATTACAATCCCATGTGACCTCTGAAGTGTATGCTGTCCATTGCTGACCAAAACATCATTATGTGGCACACAACTGTGTATGAATAGAAAATGACAAAAGAAGATACATTTCATCTGCAATGATATTTTAGTACTCCACTTACCTTTTGAGGTGCAAAAATTTGTATTATAAGTTGGAAGATGAAGCTGAGGCTCTGTTGGGAAAATTTCTTTCCCATTTCTGTTCACTGAAATGTCTTCTCAGTGTTTAGTTGAGAACCTAATTGTTATTTCTGAAGAAGTCCCCTTAATTTTTGACTCATTTGAAAATAAGAAGTGTAAAGCTAGGGTTGTGGCTCAGTGTTGTAGAGCGCTTGCCTAGCACGTGGGAGGCACTGGGTTTGATCCTCAGCACCACATAAAAATAAATAAACAAAAAAAGGTATTTTGTCCATCTACAATTAAAAAAAATAAGCAGTGTATGTGAAGTGTAAATCAGAGTACAAAAAAAAAAAAAACTTCTTGTCATTAATTATCCAAACCTAATTCATAAAGGTCCTTCAGTCAGATTTATACTGTCCTCTTCTCTCTTACCTGATAACCACTTTATAAAATAAATAGAGTTTTAAGTGATCAATTGTCTCAAAATTTGTATCTTTCCTCACCTTTCTTGTATTTTGATGGGAATATGGTTCCAGGCTAAGTCTTCCTGTTTTGTTTTTTTTTTCATTCCTTTCTTCTTATCAGTTTTTAAAACTTGCCTTTTACATTAAATCCTCCTTGTTTCCTTATTTCCATTCTCTTTCTTTCCACTGATGACTCTGAACATAAAGTTGTGTCCTACTTTTTTACATCCTTGGTTTTTTTCCCTTCAATTCACTGTACTATCTTACTTTTACTTTTCCATTTTTTATTTTCTTGAACAATGTTTGAAAGAATCAAGATTCTATTCTTGCTGTTTTCACTTTCACACTTCTTATTTATTTCCCAAACCAATCTAATTTAGATTTTTATCTCACTGCTATACTAAAATTACTAATATGATGTCAAATTCACTAATCTTGTCTTGGGCCTCTTTGACGATTCTGGAGTTTTTTATATTATTGGTTGGCCCCCTTACTTCCTGTAAACTTCTTGTGTAGTTTATGTGACTTTTTTTCTGTTATCTCTCCTTGGTCACACTTTTCAGTTTGTTTCGGTTTTTCTTCTTTTACATGTTTCTTAACTCTTAGTGTCTTGTATGTTCTTTTTRAAAAGTTCCTTTTTCATCTATATTAGTAGTCTGCCCTTTTACTTAGATTTATTTTGTTTTGTGTAAATTTTTATGGAATCTACATTTTTAATAAGCTTTATTCATTATAAAAGAAATCTTACAGTGTTTTCAGTAAAAATAGTAAGCACATATATAGCACTTAAAAATGACTTTCCCATTTTCTACTCTAAACATTTTCTCCACATATCATAGTTATCTAAGTCATTCTAATTATGGTGAAATTGGAAAACAATTGTGCTTCACTAGAAAAATATTATGGAATCTTTCGCCTTGGTTTGGAGAACTTTTGTCTCTAACGTAAGCTATGAGCTGACTCATATTTTCAGTGGAAAGCTTTATCATTTGTCTTATTGTCTTAAAGTTTTATTATTTGTCTCATATTTTGTCTTATTGTTTGACTGATTTGATCTCCCACATTCTAAATGAAACTTACGAAAAACTCCAGAAGAATTTGTTCATGGAAGCCTTTGGTGTACACAATTCTCTTGAGCTACAAATTATGTTAATTATATTAATGTTAAATTCATTTTAATAACTTTTACCATGCAGTAAATATATCAAACTGTACTTATTTCCAGATAAGTTTATTTTCCAAGGAAAACACAATAAAATAGGTTTAATTTTTCTGCCAGCACAGATCACCTTAACCATGGTAAGTTTAAAGCTTCTCTTTGTTCCAGAATAGAATTTGGTGCAGTATTTTTTTTCTATGTAGAATCATTTTGCCATTTTAATTATGACTTTCCCAAGTCTAGTTTAGAACATCAATAGAATATAATTTAATTTATTGATGTTTTTGAGATAGAATTGAATGTTTGGGTGACTTCATTAGGTCACCTTTGGCAAGATACTTAATCTTCAGTGTTTATTTTAACAACCTATTTTATTTGTTGTTGTTGTTAACTTTGCTATAACACTTGTAGTTTTTCTATTATACATTTCCATTTTGGATAGATTTATTTTGTTCTCCTCTTCCTCAGTTATCTTCCTTTGCCCTCCTCTGGCTACCTTTTTCATTCAGTACAAAGACTCTTTATTTAGAGTGATGCTGACTCAATGTGACAGTAGCACTAGGGAATAAATAACTTTTCATGCCTTTTGCTTTCTTAAACAACTCTGCAAAAATATATGTCCTCATGCCTGCAACACTAGCTACTTAAAGGCTGAGGCAAGAGAATAATCTGAGATCAGCTTGGTCAGCATAGTCTAAAAATAAAACTGTGTTTTCTTTTTAAATTTTTTTTTCAAATAACATTATTTCCTAGTGTTTTTGTAATAGTCCACACAAGAAAGTGTAGCCACATTTTATGTTAGCTAATGGCTACTGAGATAACAGTGTACTATTTTGAATGATTTTTTGGGTGTAAAAAAGGTGTGAAAACAGAAAAGACTTGGG